GCCAGGTCTTTCTTCCAAGGTGCCTTTGGGTAGATTTGAACCACCAACCTTTTGGTTAGTAGCCGAGCACTTTACTGTTTGGGCCACCAGGGACTACTGCTTGGCAAATAGAAGGTCTTTAATAAATGTTGTTCCATGACCCAGTGACTGAAACCAAAGAACAAGAGGCAGAACATCAAACCACAGCCACACTTCCAAAACTAAAGCTGAATTTCCCCCCCAAGGACAGGAAAAATGAGCCCAGGTATCAGTGCTCATTGCACGCAGCTGCCATGAAGATTTGATATTTGTACAGAGGAACATCTCGAATGGGGTGCCAGAAAAAGGACGGCGACTCCCCATTATGGCCATAGTATATGAGGCCTAAAACAGCCCCAAACCCCTAGGAGATGAACATGATGCACAAGCTGTCAGAGCTCTCCCGGGCATCTTGGGTTGTTCCTTGACTAGAGCCAAGTACGACCCCTTCCCTGGATAAACGGTGCATTCGAGGCTCAGGGCTCCACAGGACTCTGTCCAGTCACACAGCTAGTCTGTGGCACAGGCTGGACTAGAACCCAGGTCTCCCCACTCCCAGTCCACAGCTCTTTCCAAAGATCCTTGGACTAGGAGCAGGGCCAGGACTAGGGTGAGGCAGGTAAGGCACTCACCGGGGTAGCAAAATTCAAGGAGATGCCAAAACTCAGTTATCAAGATAAATCACATTTTGATACAATATTTTTTAAAAACCAAAATTAGTGCCAAAAAAAAATCTACAGGAAGCAGAATATCGCATTTTAAAATAAAGACTCTGAAATCAAGCCGGGCCCTTGAACACTGCATCCTCACTCCCCTCGCCCGGATCCCGGCGGGGACTAGGAATGGACGTGTGGACACCTAAGTTAGAGCACTGGAGGCAAAGGGACACAGCGTGGCGGGCCGCAAGAACAGAAGGGAGGACAGAGTGCCTGGAGCAGAGTGCTATGGGCAGATGGCGGGAGACTGCCCCCCCAGTCCTATCCCCACCCCGACTCCCAGAGCAGCCCTTTGCCTACAACAAGCTGCACCCAGGGACACCCAGTTAGATCCCCTGCCAGGAGAGCTAACTCTGAACATAGAAAAGCCCACTCCACCCACAGGCCGCCCCCGTCCACAGACTTCCCTCCTAACTCTAACCAGTGGTCTTGCAAATCTAAGTGCTTTACATCTCAAGGCAGGGATGGATGAGAAAGTTTAGACAGCTTGGGATAACCCTTCATGCCAAGGAAAAACAACCCAGGGCTTTATGACTTACTGACAGCTGTGTTATGAATGGGAAGGAAAGCATATTCTTAAACCGCTGACAGTAACTCCCTTTTAAGGTATTTCCTCGCAGCCAAGGACAACACATCCTCCTCCTGCCCCCAATATTAATAGCAGCTTGTTTTTCGTGACAAGCTTGAGCTTTTCGGCCAGGCAGGCCTGGATTCAGATACCAGCGTGGCCACTTACCATGTGACCCCAGACGATTCACCAAGAAAAGGGGTCATCCCCTCAGACCTTTCCAGGGACCAGGTGGTGACTTAAAAGAGATGATGTGGGTTGAGGATCAAACGATCATCCAAAAAGACCCTAAAAACTAAACCTGTTGGTGTCGAGTCGATTTCAACCCAGGGCGACCCATGTGTTACAGAGCAGAACGGCTCCAGAGGGTTTTCTTGGCCGTAATCTTTACAGAAGCACATTTCCAGGCCTTTCTTCCACAGTGCCACTGGGTGGGTTCGAGTTACTAACCTTTAGGTTAGTAGTCAAGTGCAAATTTTTGCACCCCTGGGGACTAACAGAAGGCAGGGGTGGGGGACATGACTTAGCATCAGCAGACTGCTTACAGGAGGGATAGTGAAGAGATCTTCCAATTTTTCAAAAGGAAAATTTTTGTGAAATCTCCTGATTTTTAAAGGTTGGCAACTAATTATTTGAAAAAAAAAATTAACTCTCTGGGGTCAAAACAAAACAAAATAAGTGTGTGGGTCAGAACCCACCTACTGGCCCAGTCTGTACCCCTGATGTCTACAAAGCCCTTCCCACCCCTAGCAACCCATCTGGCACCCACTATGTGCTCAGAAAGCACCATTCCCATTTTTCCACAGAGCTTTCAGCGGCAGCATCGACATGCATTTCCACACAACAGCTTGGGAAGGAACGCTTCTCAGGAGGGAAATGAAGACATGAAGAGAAGAGCTCAAAACCTGGAAGGCTCTCAGGGAAGGAGGAACTGCAAAGAGGGAATTCCTTAAAAGGATTTAAAAGAATTTTATTGGACATAGTTTAACACAAATCGGGGATAAGATCAAACCAAACCAAACCCATTGCTGTAGAGTCCATTCTGACTCATAGTGACCCTACAGGACAGAACAGAAGTGCCCCACAAGGGTTTCCAAGGCTGTAATCTTTACAGAAGCAGACTGCCACATCTGTCTCCCTTGAACAGGTTGGTGGGTTCGAACCGCCAAGCAGCCGAGAAGTTAACCACTTTGCCATGAGACCAGGTGGTAATTTAACTCCTGGACACAGCAAGTGAATCTGTGTATAGGAGGGAGGCAGGGGGAGAGAAGGAGATGTTGTCCTTACTGACCGTCTCCGCACAGTGTGCTGGGGGCTTCTGTTGGCAGGCCACCCCAACATTTGACTCAGGTGCACAGGTATTCTGAAATGAAAAGCCCAGCCCCCAGGGACAGTCCCTCTTGAGAGGTGGCCCAAGGGCCCAGCTGTTCCTACACAAAAGGAAGCAAGGCTGAGTCACTCATTGGATCTACTAGCTAATGTGGGCTTTGAAGTCAGAGCCAGCTAAGTTTGGGTTTCAAGTCCTCTCCATCAGCGGTTCTCAAAGTGTGAACCCCAAACCAGCAGCATCAGCATCACCTGGGAACTTGTTAGAAGGACCCCAACCCAGACCTACTGAATCAGAAGCTCTAGGGGTGGGGCCAGCCATCAGGGTTCCAACAAGCTCTGCAGGGGACTCGAATGCATAATAAAGTTTGAAATTACTGCTCTACCTCCTCGACCCACGATCTTCAGGGTTGTCATCCATGTCTCCGAGATCGTTAAAGCTGTTCCATTCGATTGTCCTGAGCCTTCCTTCAACGATGATTTCAGCGGCTGCTCAGTATGTGCCTGGCATGTGAAAGATCGGGGAGAGACAGCACATAGTCCCTGCCCCGGTGGAGCTTAAAGTCCAGTGGGGAGACTACAATAAACAAATAAAATCGGTAGAAATACCAACTTTCAGATGGAGAGCTAGGCAGGGGTCAGAGCCACCACATAGAGCTGTGGTTCTCAACATGTAATCCAAGGACCACCTGATCACCAAAGCCTCCTCTGCCCAGCCCTGGCCTATCTCCTGCCAACCCCTCCCATTACTCCTTCCTCAAACCCTCCTCTTTGCTGCCTCAGGGCCTTTGCTTGTGCTGCTCCATCCACCTGAACCACTCTCTTCCCAAATCTTCCAAAGATGGACTCATGGGAGCTGGTGGGGGCTCAGTTTAATGTCACCTCCTCAGAAAGGCCTCCCAGATCATTCTGCCTAAAGTGGTCTGTACTCCTTCCCCAGCTCTGTAGTCTTCCTTGCCCTCTCACCGGCAGCCGCAAACTTTTTGGGTCTCCCTCAGCGAAAGACAACTTCTTAGGGGCAGGTCCTTGTCCGTGTAGCCACCTCCACATCACCGGTGGGCCCACATTTGCTGAATGCATGAATGACTCAGTGCTTATTTCTCTTCATGAGATGGTCAGTAAGGACAACATCTCCTTCTCTCCCCCTGCCTCCCTCCCATACACAGATTCACTTGCTGTGCCCAGGAGTTAAATTACCACCTGGTCTCATGGCAAAGTGGTTAACTTCTCGGCTGCTTGGCGGTTCGAACCCACCAGCCTGTTCGGGGTAGACAGATGTGGCAATCTGCTTCTGTAAAGGTTACAGCCTTGGAACCCCTTTGGGGCACTTCTGTTCTGTCCTGTAGGGTCACTATGAGTCAGAATGGACTCTACAGCAATGGGTTTGGTTTGGTTTGATTTTATCCCGGACTTGTGTTTAACAGTGGGCACCCACACCTCCTCCCCAGCCTCAGCCAGAGGCCACCAGGCCGCTGACAGCAGGGTTTTCTCTGCGTCCCACCTTGATCTGATAGCAGGACAGGGCAGCAGAGACTAAAAGGAAACGAAAGGAGGGTGTGGAGCCAGCGGTCCCAGAGGCCAGCTCCACGGGTGGTCCCCTCGCAGGGAGACCTTCCTCCTCCACCCACGCCCACAACTCTGCAGCTGCTACCAATTCCCGAGCTAAGTGGCTTCCAGCCTGCTCATTGCCACACTCCGGGGAGACAAGTCCGTGCGCTGGCGGGACGACCCAGGCCCCGGGCCTAGTACCACCCGCCAGGGACGGGATGCGGGCGGTTCAGCCACTTGGACTCTGGGACGTGGCACATCTGGCGTTGGGAAGAAAGGCACGTAGCGCAGCAAGGACCCGCGAGGCCCGTGCAGCCTGGGGCCCGCAGTGGCTTGAGGGACCATGGGCAGCGGTGCGCGCGGACTTCGAGGCAAAAGGCACGTGTCATGGCCGTGTGCCCCCCACTTCCCGAGAATTGAAGCGCTTGGCACGTGCAGCCCCTTGACAGCAGGGCGCGCAGAGCCCGGGACAGTGGCGCTGGGGCCCAGGGACAGGTGCACTTAGAGCTCCAGGGAAGTTGTGTGGCGTGGCGCATTCGTCCCCGGAGGCTGGCGCGCGGCAGGGCGCGTGCAGCACACCCGTCAGCTGCGCGCAGGCCCGAGGCAGCGGCTCGGAGCGGGCCGTCCCGCTCGCAGCGCTCCCTGGCCGGCATGCAGGCGCCCGGGTCCGCGGTACAGACCCGCAGCTGGGCGGCCCCGACGCCGGGGGTCGGGGGGCTGGCGCCGCGGTTGCCACGGTCCCGGCAGCGGGCTAGGCAGGCGCCGCGTTCTCCCCGCCCCGCGCTCAGTCCCCTCCCTCCGTCCCGCCTCCTGCCCCGGTACCTCCCTTGGCGGCTGCCGCGCGACGCTCGCGGCGCACTCGGAGCCCGGCGGGCAGCCGGAGGCAGAGGCGGGCCGGGCCGAGTGCGGAGCCAAGCCGGGCCCCGGGGCCGAAGTTTGGCCGCGGCTCGGGAGGCGGCGCGGGCGGCCGGGGACTTCCAGCCCGCTCTCGCGTCTTCGCCTGGGCCCCTCAACCGCCGGGGGCGCGGTCGCCGCGGCTCGGCCAACTCCGAGGCGGGGACGCCAAGCCAGGAACTTGAGGTGGGAACTTTGCGCGCTAAACCTCGCGGGGCCACCGAGTCGCGGACAGGCCCCAGTGCCTGCAGACTCGGCCGCCGGGGACCGCACGTGGCCATGGCCCGGGGGCCCCTGCGGGGATCTCCCCACCCCGCGGAGGGTGGAGGCTGCAGCGACAGAGGACCCGGGAGCAGCCGCGGGTGGCGACGTGGAGCGCGCTCGCCACGGTCACGGTGCGGGGCTGGTTTCAGTTCGTCTCAAGGGGTCTCTGGGGTGCAAACTGGGGACGTTCTCAGCCACGATGCCCGGGGCAGGAGGGGACGCATCCTGGCTGCGGGCGGAGGTTTCTCGCCGAGTGAGGAAGGAGAGGGCGTTGGGGCACGTCTGCCACTCGTTGATTCGCTCTCCCCTTCAAAACGGAATGGAGCATCCCACCAGGAACTCAACAAGCGTTGATTGAGCGCCTACTGTGTGCTTGGCGCTGGGGACACAGGCACAGCTCTGTTCTCTGGAGGCCCCTTCCTGTGACCGGGGAGAGATCCCCCTCAGCCTCAGGGGCTCCTTACCGGGAGGTGGCTAGCCTGGGTGGGTTGGAGTCTTTGGGTGGGGAAGGAAAAGAGAGAAGTTCGTTCTTCATTCATGGACTGGACAAAGATGGATCGGGCATCTACTCCGCTCACCGAGCCAAGTGCTCGACATTCATTATTTCATTCACTCGTTCGTTCATTCAGCAAACATTCATTGAGGCACTGTACTGGGGCGAGGACAGTGAACAAGGCATGGGATGGGGCAGGATAGAATGGGGACAGCTTAGGAGGAAGTAGGGATTGAGAGGAAGCCCCTCCCTTGAAGAGGTCATCCTGGGGGGTGGCCGACTCAGCACCTGGCACACGGTAGGCAGAAAGAAGGTCACTGGACAGGTTGCAGGCTGGCCGTTCTTTGGTTCCCCTAGCACGTGCATTTGGGGGGAGAGGGAGGAGCTGGTTTTTGGATCCAACCAAAAAAACCAAACCTGTTGCTGTGGAGTCCATTCGGACCCATAGTGACCCCGTAGGACAGAGCAGAACTGCCCCATCGGGTTTCCAAGGAGCGGCTGGTGGATTCAAGCTGCTGACCTTTTGGTCAGCAGCCGAGCTCTTATCCACTGCGCCACCAGGCCTTTCATTTTTGGATAGGAAAAGAAAATGTCTAAAAAGGCTCCTTAGGGGAGGTGATACTGAAAAAAAAAAAAGGTTGAGAAACACTGAGTTGACATGACTGATGAACCCAGCCTGCCAGCAGTGGGGTTTGTTGGTTAAGTTGTAGGCATTTTCTTAAGCACTAACTATTCTTAGGCACCGAAAGGGTGCCAGGCCTTTTGTCAAGTGCCAGGGTCGCCCAGGTGGACAAAAAGAGGGAGACAGACCGACGGACAGCCTCTTCCCTGACACCCGTGATAAGTGCAGGGGGAGGTGTGAGGAGTGACAGGAACTGCTCTGATTCACGGTGGTGGGAGTGTTTCCTGCCTCTAAGGGTCTGAATATTTTACACTCACCCCCAACCCCTCCACACACACACACACACACACACACACACACACACACACACACGACTGCACAGAGTCACTGTGAGGAGCCTCACCGTCGGTTTGGTGCTCCTGGAGACCCAGGCACATGGGGTGGGGCACGTGGCCAGGGCAGGGCCATGTTTCTCAGGTGCATTGCTCAGGCTCTGTCGGACCGAGCTCGCACACACATCCTTTGGCTTTTGGAGCTCTGCAGAGGCACCTGCCAAGTGGCGAGGGAGGGGAGGTGTGTTTGAAAGACAGACCAGCAATGGCCCCTGGGGGTTGGCTTCATCATCCCTCTTCTAGGCCAGCCCATTCCGGCGGAAAGATGTCTGTCATGGGACTCCAACCCCGCAGGGAGCCCTGAGTGCGTTGGAAGCTACACAGCCTCGTTCCTCTCCTGGGGCTTGAGAACCGAGGCTGGGGCGCCCTGGAGTCGGATTTTGGGTAGATCTGGGAGCCAGGCTCAGGTTCGACTGCAACTTTGAATTCTCTGGGCTCTGGCAAGAGGTGAGGGTGACATCCTGGGAATAGGGGAGCAGAGAAGAGATGCGTCCTGGATGGTGGACTAGGGAGTTCCCCTGCCAGGCCCCTGAAGGGTGTCGGGTAGGCTGTCCCTTCTCCACATTCCAGATACGTGATGGCGAGTCAACATTTCCAGTTGCCAGAGGCCTGGGAGTCCACCCTTGGTTGGCTCACTAAGCCCGGAAATAGAGCCCCTAGGTGGGAAAAGGCAGCTGGAAAAGCCCTTCTGAATATAATTAATAGAGAGAGAGGCAAGGGAGCCGAGCTGCAAGTACTCACTCACTACTGGCCATTTTTATTACACAGCGGCTGTATTTGATTAACAGAATCAGAGCATAAGTGAATTTGCTGCAGAGCAGGATCTGAACTGAACTGTGAACCCCCACCCCCTGTGTGGTGACTTTTGGCCTCATACCTTTCCTCCCTAGGCAGGCAGGCCAGTCTCCCATGCTCTCTGTCCTTCCTTCATTGCCTCCCTGCCACAGCATACCCTAGAGACTGCAGCCTGAACGCTTACTACCGCAGAAGAGCTGGGGACGCATGTAAGCAGGTGTCCCGCTCTTGCTGCCCCGAGGTCCCACTGCTTCCCCAGCCCACTCCTCTGCTTCAGCCTGTACCACCACCATTGTGGCTGCAAGCAAGCAAACAGGAAAGGATCTCCTGGCTCCCGCCCCACAGCACCTGCTGGTAGAAGGCCAGTGTGCACTGAGTGTTATTTTGCCAGCAGCAGAGCCGGGAGGCTCCAGAGCTGCTGGGTCTTTTTTATAGGGAGGAGACTCTGGCACTTTCTCTCATTTTGCGGGGAGAGGGGGAAGAGGGAAGAGCCCAGCCCCCAGCTAAAATCCCTCCCCCGACCCTGGGACTTGGGCTCCATCTTGGAGAAAGCAAGGCTGAGGTCCAGCGTAGTTGGACTGCGGCGAGGGCAGCAGGTGGCTAAGACAGACAGACGCCCCACACTGGCGTAGCATCTCGTGGAGACGCAGCATGCCAGGACCTGGGCCAGGCTCATGGCTGGGTTTCTTTTGATGAGCATTTTAATCGGGAGTTAATGCAGCATAGCCCACCTCTGAGTCAGCCCAGCCAGGAATCCTAACCCTGACAGATGACCTGGTGCTGGCAGTGACATGCAGCAGGGCCCGAGAACGGCAGGGAGATGGATGGGGTCTCCTCGGCAGCTGCTCGGAGTTAGACAATGACACAGGTCGAAAACTGTGGTCAAGAGAAAGAAACCAACGCCCCGGGAGCTTGGGAAGGAAATGCTTTTCTTCTGGAAAGTTGCCTTGGAGGTTGTATGAGTTTCTATTGCTGCAGTAACATGACCACAGATGTAGTGGCTTAAGCAATACACACTTCTTATCTTACACTTCTGGAGGTCAGAAGTATGAGATGGATTTCACTAGACTAAAACCAAGGGGATGGCAGGGCTGCGTTCCTTCTGGAAGTTCTAGGGGAGAATCCGTTTTCTTAGCTTTCCCAGTTTCTGGAAGCCACCTGCATTCCTTGGCTCATGGCCCTACATCACTCCAACCTCTGCTTTCATTCTCGCATCTCCTTCTCTGACTCTGACCCTCCTGCCTCCCTCTTGTAAGAACCCTGTGGTTACACTGGGGCCACCCAGGTACTCAGGATAATCTCCTCATCTCAAGGGCCTTAACTCCACCACACCAGCCAAGTCCCGCTTGCCATCTAAGGTAGCGTATTCACAGATTCTGGGGATTAGGAAAGGAGCCCTGGTGGTGCAGTGGTTATGTACAAGGCTGCTAACCAAAAAGCTGGCGGTTCAAACCCACCAGCCGCTCCGCAGGAGAAAGACATGGCAGTCTGCTTCTGTAAAGATTACAGCCTTGGAAACTCTATGGGGCAGTTCTACTCTGTCCTACAGGGTCACTATGAGTCAGAATCAACTTGACTGGCAGCGAGTTTTTTTGGGATTAGGACATGGACATATTTGTGGGAGGGAGGCGTTACTCTGTTGACCACAGGGGTGTGCCTTATTTGTTAGTGCAAGTTACAGATAAGGAAACTGAGACTCGACTGAGATGAGTGGCTTGCTATCAGTCCAGATGAAAGGGAGAGGCAGACCTGAAGTCCAGCCCCCCAGGAGGTGTTTCCCCCTCACATTCCTCTAAGGAAGGGAACGTGCGGGGAGGGGAGGTGCCAAGCTTGCCATCATGGGACACAGAGGCCATTCTAAGCAAGCACTTACGTAGCCCTTATGATGTGCCCAGCACAACACCAACTACTTTATGTATTTCAGCAACCTTAGGGGGCGGTGCAATGATTGCCCTAGTTAAGAACTGAGGGCACTCAGGCACAGAGAGGGAAGGTCATTTGACTCAGGGTGCACAGCTGGTAAGTGGTGAGCCAGGCAGGCTGTCCCCGGGGTCCACACCCTTGGCCATAGCTGGTGCCCGACTACACCACAGGAGGGCCCTCTGTGCAGAGGCCACGTGGCGGCCCAGAGTTGGACAGAACCACGGGTTTGGTTGATTTCCTGCTCCACTCTTGTGCAGATACCAAATAGGAATAAAGATGCTTCCCCCCAACAATGGCAATTGTCTACTTCCCTCCCATCCCCCACAGACTTCCCAAAAGCTTGTCTGTAGAAAATAGAGACTGGAGACCCAGTTCCTGGCTCGCTGTAGGTGGCCAAGACCCCTCCACCCCACCCCCGACAAGGAACCAGTGACCCAGGGGGACAGTAAAACGCAGAGGTCGGAGTCTGGCTTGGAGTCCCACAGACCTAGCTTGAATTCTAGCTTCATCACTAATCGCCAGTCATGAGTTTTCACATGAGTTACTGCGAAGAACCTCAATGTTCTCATCCGTAAAATGGGGGTGTTAGTGGTAATGCCTGCCTCGTAGGAAGGGCGAGGGCTTGTGCATTTAAGGCCACTTTCACAGCACCTGGCACTTAGTGAGGGCGCCATTGAAGGAGGCTGTCATCCCTCTT